CGAAATTTAGATGACTAGCAGTTATTTGTGTTCACGATTAAGAACTCGTTATAGCAAGTGCCAGGATATATTCGAAACAAATGTCTATAGATCAAAAAATATCACTTTAATTGAATAATTTTGTTTTATAATGCTTGCATGTATTTGTTTAATTAGTTCAGATTGTTGTGCTTGTCATGCATGAATATTGATAATAAAGTGTGAGAATCAAGCGTACAAACATCAGTATTCTAATTAGGCTGTGATCACTATTAGTATAAAGTCTTGAAAGTCTTGTAGCACTTATTAACATGAAGTAACTTTCAAATGTAAATAGGTTTGATACAGCTTTGCCATCTAAGTGAAAGTAGAATTAAATATGAGCCAGATCTAATTCTTTAACTTCAATTTCAATTGTGCCAACGGGATATGGCTAGACTCATTCATTTGGTATCGAGAGTAAATTTGAGGCTGTTATAGATTTCTTGCATTCAGCAACTCTTAATGCCTGTAGGTGAAAATTCTCAAGTTGCAAATTGAGTCCTTCCTGACATCAGCGTCCGATAGCGTTCATCACATAGTTCCTTTAATGAGGTCGCAGATATCGTAATAAGTTTGCCAAAGAGAGGGTAGTTACTGTAGAGCTTATGTATGTAGGAAGTTTCTTGTAAAGAATTGTATCCGAAGTTTGACTACAGTTTCCTTTTCGGCTGTTCTGCTATGTATTCTCCTCATATTACTTGTTAATATTGTATAGAAAAGTTTTATTTAAAGCTTACAGGTTTTTTTACATAACATTCGTGCTATACTAGTGATGCATTCCTAACTTATGCCTTCTGATCAGTTATATTTTTTGGATGGATGCTCATGAACGCATCTCGCACCATCGAACTGAATCAGGTTTTTATCTTTTATCAGATATGAGTTCGGTAACATGAATAGAATTCGATTATATGGTTTTTTCAACTAAATGTATATATATGAACAGAAAATTGATAGAAGTAGTATTATGAAAATATTGATTGTAAAGGACATTACTTCGTCATAGTCAGTTCATTGAAAGATTAAGTTCGCAGAAAATAAATCAGATATAAAACTTCCATTTCTTTGTAGGATTTTTTATGTTAGGCAACAACGTTTGTTGAAATAAGAACTGTCGAGTGTCAATTAATTGTGTTTAATTCTTCAGAAACTGTTGTATCAGGTCGAATTCATCTGACTTCAGATACAACACATCATATTCATCATAAATTTGCTTGGAAAGCTATAAATATTGATGGAAAGCACGTACTTTTTCGATGTGACGGTATTTGCAAAGAAAATCCCAAGGTACTTTATGTTGTAATTATTAGTCATTCATAGGTGATTTTTTTTCTGCTCCTGATAATTGCAAACAACATTTAATGTGCCAAATTTTCACTGACCAACGGAAAGTAAATACCGTAAAAACAACTGTGATCATTGCTTTGAATTGCAAAAAGAAAATTGTTTCAGAGATAATAAGTTACTTTAGCAAGAAGAGGGATAATATTCGATAAAATTATCACTGTAGATGAATCTCTTTTCAAATTTTGAATTGAATAACCTTGTTGTACTTCAATTTATTTTCATTGTTTTAATTGCTATGAATAAGCAGAAAGTTGCTTTTTTTCGTTGGGGATGTATTCGTTGAGTTGGTATGTCGTTATTTGATAAGCTATGTTAATGATTCTTCATCTCTGGATTGTATTAAAAATCCTGTATATTAAAAACAACTTTTAGTACAACGTTCATACATTGGGAGATCCAAGAAATCCGTTGACAAGATTTCGTAGTGTAGAATCAGTCAATCTCCTTTTACCTTCCTTTATTGTACGTTATTTTTATGAATTTATAGCTGCCATTTCGTACTTTCTCTTTTATGATGTTTTATGATGTTCCGTGAAAGCAGTTCAAAAATTGCATGGTAATGTTGTAGAATAAAATACTGATCCTGTAAACTTTCTCACAATAATTTCATTCCAGTTAGACAACAATTCTGTTGGAGTTCAGCCAAGACGCGAAGTCTCGATTTTTGGTTTAAATGATAATATAAACGAAACTTTTTTATCTGATATGTGCAAGTAAGGATATTTGTCATTATACTTGAAGCATCTATTTATGATCAAAAAGTATTTCAAAACCTTATTTTCAAATTTTATCAGCTACTGTTATGCAGAGAAACAATTTGAAAATTGGAAATTTATAATATATTAAATAATTGTAGTAAAACGGGTGCAGTCATCGAAGTATTTGTTTACATGCATCCTCGCACTAAAAAACATTTGGGTATGGCCTATGTTGTTTTCCAAGATGTCGACAAAGCCAATTCTTTTGTTAGAAAAAATAACGGTACTTCAGTTATGGGACAAACTATCACGTGTATTATTGATCCGTATGGTATCTTATATTTTGATTTACATCCTATCCTTTTTTGTGATTTTGAATAATTGTCACTATCGCTTCCTTTCATATTTATAGGTACATTGTGTGGAAGTTGGTGTCGATTCTAATTTTTTATTTACTTTTTTTGTGTTAAAGGCTTATAATTGGTAGTAATAACGTATTTTCAAAAGCAAAAGAAATAAGTCGACGTTACGAAGAGCAAGCAGTAGAAGTCGCGCCAGTACCGCGTTATTTATCCCGTTTGGATCACAATGTGTTGGTGGAATTTCGGAAAACTAACCAGACGGAGACATCTGATCATGATGATTCAACTGTATTTGTTTCAAATTAATTAGACTAGTAGTACTATTCCAATTTTACAGTAGGATTTTGAATATAAATCAGTTTCACGAAATAACAGTTTAAAGTAAGTCAAAAAATGTAGCATACATTTATTCTTCTGCATTCTTGCCATTTTTTTATTTCGGAAAAGGATGGTTTTTTAGTCATACATTGATATGATTTAGAGGGGAGTATCATGAAGACGAAAAAAATGAATCCCCAGCATTTCAGAAAGCGAAATTGAATGCCATACCTTCTACCAGTTCACAAGAGCCTGAAAATTTCGTTGAATTAAACTCGACGGCGCAGAAACAAATTGAGAATGTAATAGTGCCGTTCCATCGCGATAAAAATCCACAACAGCATCAGGCATTAGCTGAAGCTGTACTGCCGAAAATTACTTCCAAAGTTATAGGTAATATGACGTCATTTTTTAGTAAATAAAAATTCCTTGATTTATTTAAATAAATAAATTCTGATGTTTCATTTGTCTCAGTCACTTTTTTTTAATTAGCATGTTAACAGGGGTTTTAGCAGAAATACGAAAATTCACTAAACGAATGCTTATTTTAAAGAAAATTGGATATGTTACTCATGCTGGATCAAGTTTTATTATGAGCAATTTTACTTTACAGCAGATGAAAATATTCCATCTTCGAGAGAGAAACCTGCACCTCCTTCATCAGTTGGCCATTTACTTATTCCAGTCACAACTACTCATACGTCGTCACCTTCTATGGAAACAGCATCAGTTCTAGCGCATCAATCACTACATACACACCACATGATGCCTCAACAAATCCCTCCGGCACCATTTGCTTGTTTCCGTTCGATACCACCTAATTCCTCATTTCCACCAGTGTTTCCTCCAGTTCCTTCTCCCGCTTATTTTCCACCCTCATCTTTTCCACCAATACCCGGGCTGCCTCGTTTCTCCCACTGGCCAGATTTATCGCAACCACCACCACCACCATTTATCCCAGGTTATTGCCGAACTCTACTTTTCCATAACTCTGGAAGAAAAAGAATTTTGAGCAAAAAGGAACTCTTATTACTGTTAATAGATTTAACTCCTTTTAGCATCGCTTAATACTTGGCCAAGAACAGAAAAAAATGTTCCACCATTTTTTCCTATTGGTAATGTGATGCAAGCAGCACCAAATTTTGTACGGGTACCGTCAAGCCCAGCATCAGCATTTTATCATACAATGCCTAGTACTTCAGCCTTTGATGCTTCAGCAGTAGTAGATTCAGAAACAATGCAGGTTATTTTCAGCTTATTTATCTTTTGCGCTGCTTTGTTTTTATTATTGCTTCACTACATCTTCTATAATAATTCTACACCAAGTGATGAAAAACAGTACGGAATTATTTCACAGTTTTTAATTACTAATTTAGATTATGAGCAGTGTTTTTTGGCCAGAAAATTGAAATTATCTATGCAAGACAGAAATTAGTAAAAATATTTTTTTTTTGGGAGGAATTTTGTGAATGCATTAACATGTTAATTTGAAATAAATTGTTCATACATTTCATAACAGAAAAGAAGAGAAGAAGGGCAGTCAAAAGGAACAGTTGAGAAGCAGGGACATAATTTTTCAGGTTCATTAAAACAAATTTTTATTTAGCTTCATTTATCTTTGCAGTACTTTTTTCCTTTAATAATAAAGAGATTTACTGTCCTAATATCCAGAGGTTATGTTTTTGGTATCCGAAATTATAAGGACGTCAATAACATCTGTTCTCTTACTTCATCTCATAAAGTACATTTTTCTTCCTTGTCTATCGCAACTGAAGTCATACTATTGTGATTTAGTGAATGAAAATATGGAATTGAGCAGTAGAAAGCGGCATCATGAATCCTGTTCAGCATCCAGCGCTTCTTTGAGTAGCAGTTTAGAAAGTGATGAGGAAAGTGAATCAAGTGAGGAGTCCTCTCATTCCAGGAGAAATAGGGTTAAAAAAAAACTTCATCATCGAAAAAAAGTAATTGTTGAAGTAAGCATTATATTTCAATAGTATAGGGTATTTTTTAATCTACTGCATTTGCCTCATTTTTCTGAGGTTTTATTTTAAATATGGTGTTAAATTAGTCAAAAATGATTTATCAGAACTTATCTTAATTTAAGATATTCCGTAAATCATAGCAGAAGCTAGCTTAATTCTAATTGAACCATTATTTCTTGTCTATGAATAGTCATCACGATATTTATCCGAAGTAAAAAATAATAAGATTTAGAAAGGCGTCAAAATTCGGACTATTTTTCTGCTTTTAGACATCTGTTCTCTTACTTCATCTCATAAAATGCATTTTTCTTTCTAGTATTTTCGATGTTTGTTATAAATTGAACTCAGAATTTAAGAAGTAAAAAATTTACGGACGTGGAAGTAATACAATAAAGAAGGAGTCAGTGATTACTACAAACCAGGGCTTTTTTCTTGTAGAACAAAATTTTGGACTATTATTAATAGAATACGAGTAGTATAGCACATTCAAATTTTGTATCTCGTCAATATCTTGATTTGGACAGTCCATAGGAAAAACTTTTATGGCATTATTTTTATACTTCTCAATTATTCATGTGGTTTTACTTTTTAAAAAGAAACTATGAATGAAGAAAAATTTTAAGCACAAGCTTTCATAAAGAGCTATATAAAGACAGCATATATTCTTGTAAATGTGTTTCAGCTTTATATATTATTCATATTCGAGCGGAGAATACTTTTCTAATTTTGGCTGACACTACGCAACTTTGTGACATTTAATTTTTTTGTTTTTATGATGTTTTAGCAAATGTTGTGTACACAAATTACTATTCTTTTAGCAAGTCGTGGTAAAAAATAACGCTCGAGAGAAGCACGCTGCTACTTCAAGTCCAGTGCAGTCACCAGATCTTGTTGAAGAAGTAGAAAGCCATCAGCTGATAAGTAAAGACAGAAAATGGGAGAAACAGCATGTTGAAGACAGTGAACATTCTGTTGAGCCCAGTGTAGATTTACCAGATTTGGAGGGTGTCAGTAGTAAAGATGAACTAATCGAAGGGTGTCAGTTGCAGAAAAAGCAGTTGCTGGTCAGGTTATTGCACATTTGGTGTATAACATTCATATGAAATATATTTTCTTTAATTTTTTGTCGTTAGCAAACATAGGTGATGCAATAAGTGCATATGTATAAAGCATTTCATATGTTCATGAATAGAAAATTTTCTGATGATTTCGGAAAAAAAATTAAAAACTCTTAGGAAATATTGTCAAAGCGTACTCAATCGCAACAACTACAGCGTGTGGACTGGCGGAAAAAGAGGTTAATGAAAATAAAACGTAAAAAACGGTATGTTTTTGTGCAGTATCAAAAATTTCTAACTTCTGATTGTTTGTTTTCGATGTTTTGATTGGATAGAGTTCCGGTTTCAGAATATTACAAAAAGAAAAAAGCAAAGTTATCAACAGTGTTTGCAGTGAATTTCTCTATCTTATTTAGTTTTTACAAAATACTTCAGTGATCAAGAAGTTTCAAATGCAAAAAAAAATGAAAAGAGTCATCGTTGGTCTTCATCATCAACTACCGATTCACAAACAGAATCAGACGATTCGTCTTACAGAAATTATAAAAAGTATCTGTTTGATACTTTATCCACACCAATAAACGTCACAACTCATTTGTGTAATTTGAGTAATTCCAGGAAATTTCGTAATAATTTGCATTTATTTAGGCTGTAAAAGAGCTTATTCAAAAATAATAAATTTATTGAAATGTTGAAAGCTTTTAACTGTTTCGATATATAAGGGTGTTTCATATTGTAGAATTTGCCATTCTTATTTTCAGATCAAGTAAACGTGTCTTTCGTTCATCGACAAATAGACGAGAAGTAATAATTTCTGTCTTTCTTCCCACAACATTTTCTTGAGCAGTTTATATGCATAATTTATCGTCAAATTGTGTTCAACTTGTCTAAATGTGCAAATCTTTCAAAAAAATTTGTGTCAAAAGAGATTTACTAAATCAGCTCATTGCTTTTCGCATTTAAAAATTTTAAAGGATGGGATAGAAGCAATGTCGACAAGCAGTGAGGAATCTCAAAATGAAGAATCATGTTCAGATAGCAAGTCACAACGATCAATAAATTTTCTTGTGAAAAAAAATTTGCCAAGTCAGTTCCAGAAAAAAATTAATAGATTTCAGCTATAAATTCAAAAATGCGAAATATATTTTCCTTACTGGCATGGTTTTTAAACATGCTAGATTTTTCAATGTGAAACAGTGCTTTTTTCGATAGTATACTCGAAATAAAGAAAAGAAAATATTTTTATAACTTATTCAAAATACTGTAGATAACCAATCGATTCAATCACTGCCAGTTCTTGGTTGCTCAAGTTTATCAGAGAAGTTGTCTGAAGATCTTCCTCTTCCATACTTGACATCTGGTAGCTCACGTTCGTTGTTTGAGCGACGACTGGAAAATCTTTTTCGATCGACTTCAGTGCAGCCTGCAGTAAAGTGTTTAAATTTCGTAGACTTGAGATTCTTTGAATGCAAAGTCGCCTGAAACCAGTAGTTTTATATTACTATGTCTTTAGCTCATCTATGTTTTCGATAGTATATTTCGAAATAAAGAAAAATGAAGGTAAAATAAAAATAAGTTTATTCGATTGATTGATGTTGTAAAAAATAATAATAGGCTTATTTGCTTGCGAATCGTGAAAATTGAGATATTATTCAACTAAGGCTATATGTTTCCCTGTACATTCATTTGTTCGGTCGGGATTGATTGGTATGAACTTCCCTTTTTTTTGAGGACAGAAGGACGATTTTTCAATATCATTGCAAAACTACTAGTTTTAATTTCATTTATTTTTCAGGGTATTAAAACTCATGAAGACGAAGCCGCTGGTGCAAAATCCTCAGCTTTATTAACTTCAGGTAAACCCAATAATTGATATTTTTCCTTTTCACGCTAAAGTCCTTTACATTTTCCGCTCAGTAGTCCCTTAATTTAATTCTACACTTTGAGAGATTCGTAATTTTTTCCCCTTTTTTATAAGCTTCAAACTTTTTCAGCGGATGTTCCATCTCTACCACCATCCTCAACTTCAAGTCGCGACAAACTCAGTGATTTATCTCCATCAGAATCTTTTTCCACTTCCACATCTTTCGAAACTGATACAAAGGTATCAACTGGCAAGCAGTTCTCAGATTTGAGTTACGCGTAAGTTTCTTCATAAAATGAAAGATCAGGATATAATTAAGAAAATTTGCGAATTTCTGTTTAAATTACTGCTTTTTCTTTTTTTTAATTGAATTTTTTAATGTATTTCTACTTTTTCTTACTATTAATTCCAAATTCGGAAATACCGTCATTATAAAAATCATGTACATGACTGCGATAAATTCATAAGTCACATGACTTCCGTGTTAATTTGTTTCAGTTTATCTACTTTCGGAATGATTTTACTTTTGCAGCACATCTTGGGTAGAAACAGAGCAACAAATTACACTTGACCATGAAAAGTATAATTCTTCTTTGTTTCCTGTCACCTTTGAGGTGAGCATTTTTTGCTGGTCCGCATTGGGTTCTTAATCAATCCACTATGTTGAAATAAATAATGTCATTGGCCTTTTCACAATTTTCAGCAGTGAACCTACCACATTCAGTTTTCAACTTTGCAGTAGTAACTTAAGTAATATTGAGAAAAAGAATCAAATGTTCAATTATTAATCAGTTTTACACAAAACTGTTCGATTAAATATGTATTGTTTTATTTGATTTAGTTTCGTCTTGATTCGATAACTATTCAGCTTAATTCATCATCTGTGGATCAGGAATGCGAAGAGTCTACGAAAGCATTCATACGTCAGACAGTGATTGAGCAGAGTGAATGCCCTGGAAAGGGAAATATGGAAGTCAAAAAAGAAATAGAAGAGGATAATCGAATAATATCTGGAGAACAAATTCTAGAAATGAAGGTTATGATTGTAATTCCCTTCACTGAGATTTGATTTTGTTAGTTTCTAATTTAGTTCAATGATATCGGTGACTTTTTATTATTTCAGATACTATCTCGTGAGAATTATGTTCATGCAATGTATGTGGAAGTTTCTAAGGATTTGAAAAATGTCCTTATGAAAGATCTCATGCGAAAAATTGAAAGCATTGCATTTCAGAAGCTGGAGAGATGGAAGGACCATGGAAAAGTCGTTATGGTATTAAATTCTGTTCTACTTGTAAATTAATCAATTCACATTTTTCATTTTACTAATTTTTGAGGTGCAAAGGTCGGTTGTTTTCCATGTAAAACTGACTTTACCGGTTCACATTTGTTCAGTAATCAGCTTCAAAAATGATTTAGAGTAAGATTTCAGAAGGGATTTAGAATGATATTAGCTTCGTATACTGGAAATAGTCTTGTATTCTTAACTAGAAAACCTCTTCAATTTGAAATTTTGAATTGTGAGCTATTTTCTCATGTTTTGGGAAGAAAATGAAGATCAGAAGCAAAGTGAGTCAAACGATCAGGTTGCAATGCCGAGTGTAAACATTGTTAATGTAATCAAAACTGAGGGAGTAGTGAGGTAATTATGATGTTTCTAGTGTTATGCAGAGTTTGTAAAAAATTGTGAAGAACGCATACGAAACTTCAGTAAATATTTTATTTCTTAGATTGTTTTTTGGTAAAAGGAATTACTTTCTGCCTATAAGTAATACAAAGTCGTTTTCTAGGAAATAGCGTTATAGGAATAAAGTATTTGATTGCTAGGAACTATGTTTATAGTGATATTAACTGATCTTATTGTTCAAAGTTAATTATTGTCAAAGTTTTAACAGTAGTTTAGAAATTTTTTGCAGCTCGAATAATGCATCAGATGAAATAGTCCAACCGGTAAGGGAGCAATCGAAAGCTGAAATATCAACAGCATTTGGACCAGATACTGCAGCTTTTTTGGGTACCGGACTTTTTTTCAGAGGTTTAGGGATTGTACGCAATATGCCAAGTTTCAAAAAAGTTTGTTCTTTGCGTTATCACTTCTAAGAGTAATTTCGTAGCGCTTATGCTTGATATTATGGTTTTCATGTGAAGGTGTAGAAAAATTCGATTCTTTATTTTTTTTCCAGCTGCAAAATGTCCAGTGTTATTAAAAAGCATGTTTTACTATTAAATTCTAATAGATTTCTGAGTGTTAGCTAGTCAAGGCTGGTGAAATATTTAATAAGTGAAGTATCAAAATAAAAATTGATGTTTGATGATATTCTCTCCAAAATTTTCATGTTTTTCCTACATTACACTTCAATTTCTGATGTTTAATAGTACTTGTACTCTTAGAAACAAATGCATCTAACACCAAAAAAGAAACGACGATCTGCATCTAGAAGCAAAAGTAACTCTCCTTGTTCAACTCCTGTACACACATTAAGCAGTTCATCTTCTGGATCGAGTCCAAGTTGTAATCAGAGTGGCACAAGCGGTTCCAGTGAAAGTGATAGTGGTTTGGATGAAGCCACAAGTTCAGAAGATGAACGCAATACAATGGGAACTGGGAGGTATCAGAATTAACTATGGTGAACATGATAATATAGAATAAGGTCCTATTGATTAAGAGCTACTTATGCGGAAATTTAGATTGTCTCAAGCTTATTCTGTCTGTTACTAGCTCATATGAAAATGTAGTCGATAAATTTTGATTATTCTTATGGTATTAAAAATCTCTGAGTTTCAGGTAATTTATTCATAACACAGAAATGTTTTAGATCTTACTACATTTTTTTATATTACATCACT